TCAGTGCGGTATAGCCAATATCCCTCTAGGCACCATGAGCAAGGGGTCCACTTCTGGATTGCGCTTTAAACTTAATGAGAGAAAAACAAGAAGCAAGGGAGGTGAGAATGGACAACAGCTCAATTAGCCTGCCATTTGGTGCAGAGGGAACTTGCTGGCATTTCAGATCTGGACAGCCCGTACAGGTGGGACCAGTCTGATATGCTTCAGATATATTCTCTCTGTAATGCCACTTGATGAGCGAAATCCAGCTTGAGATCTGAGCAGGGACCCACCGAAGGGCAGGCTAATTAAGCTGCTGTCCGTTCTGACCTTTCTTGCTACTTGTTTTTCTCAATATAAAATATTATAAGCAATATGAAAAAAATAAACGACTACAAACTAGGCTTGTTCTCTGGGTTCATTGTATATAGAAGAGCCAGAGCAGAGCGTCTATCGGGTAAGTACTGCAAACATTCAAACACACAAACACTGCTCACAAATAAAAGGATGGGCAAATGGTGGGTCCCCAACTGGCAAAGCATTGTGATATTGAATGGAGGGGTTGTCAGTGTGTGTATGGGGATGATAGAGTGTGTGTGTGTGTGTGTGTGTGTAGATGACAGGGTGTGTGTGGAAAGGTGACAGGGTGTGTGAGGGGGCTGTGACGGTGTGTGGGGAGTCAGGGTGGGGATGGCTGTGACACGGTGTGGGTAGGAAGGCTATGAGAGAGTAAAGGGTAGGGGGGCTGTAAGTGGGTAAGGGGTATGTGTGGTGAGTAGGGGGACTGTGAGGTGGGTAGGGGGACTGTGAGGTGGGTATGGTGAGTATGGTAGAGGGTCTGTATGGTGGGTAGGGGAACTGTGAGGTGGGTAGGGGGGCTATGAATTGGTGGGTAGGGGGGTCTATTAGTGGGTAGGGGGGTCTGTTAGTGTGTAGGGGGGTGTATGGTGGTAGGGGGGTTGTAAGGTGGGTAGGGTGGCTGTGAGGTGGGTAAAGGGGTTGTAAGGTGGGTAGGGGGACTGTGAGTGAGTAGCGGGACTGAGTGGGTAGGGGGGCTGTGAAATGGGAGGGGGCTGTAAGGTGGCTAGGGGGTTGTAAGGTGGGTAGGGGGATGTAAGGTGGGTAGAAGGGTAGTGAAGTGGGTTGGGGGATTGTTAGTGGGTAGGGGGACTGTTAGTGGGTAGGGCGGCTCACTGACAGACAGACACACTGACAGACACACATACTCACACATACACATTTCCCCCAAACACTCACAGATTATTTTTTTAAATACAGCTTCCTTACATTTTGGAGAGCTGGGTGGATTTTTTTACCTGGGGTCCAGTGGGCTGCTGGACGGTCTGTGCGGGCAGGAAGGCAGGCGGGCGGTTAAACTCCAGATGGGCAGAAAGGGAGTGCTGATCTGTGAGCTCTCCCTGCTCAGCTCCTTTACGCGCCGCAGAGTGATGCAGAAAGCCGAAATATGATGTCATATTCTGGACCCCGGCATCACCCTGCAGCGTGCGAGGTAGCTGAGCAGGGAGAGCTCACAGATCAGAGCTCCCTAGCTGCATGCCTGCCCCGAGGCTAACAAGGCAAATGCTTTGTTTGCCCCACAGGCAAACAAGTCCTGCAGGACCACAAATGGGAACGGTGTTCCTGCTGTGGTAAAAGTTCAGGAACGCCATTCCCATGCGTTCCTGCAGGACCCGAGCCCTGGACATACCCCATTGTGAATACCCTGGATTTTGCAAATGGTATACCATGATGGGGGTAATTCTCATTACTGGGCTGCCATTTGGTCTCAAAGGCAACATAGCCCTACTACACCAACCTGGCAAATTTCAATATGTAAAAACTGAAATATGCACGCCCATATTTGACCCTGTAACTTTGCAAAACACCATGAAACTTCTACATGATAGCCATTGTTGTACTTGTGGGACATCACTGCATACAAAGATGTGTGTTTTATTGCAATAAACGCTAACATTATTATGACATTTACAGTTAAAATGGAAAGCAGAACTTGGAAAATAACATTTCTTAATATCTCACTCGTTTTTAGATTTTATTCATATTAAATAGTGTTCCATATATGCATATTTGATGTGAAATGAAAGCTGTATTTCTCCTGAACAAATCTATATATAATACATGTGGGTGCACTTAATATGAAAGAGATATGTAATAATTGAACAGACATATAGCTCAAACTCTAGGTTTTGTTTTGACCAAACTTGTAATTGCCTCTGTCCTTAAGGTTAAACTAATATGTATTTTTAGAAAATTAGCAATTACCAATTCCATGCATCAGAGTATATTTATTGCATGATGACCAAAATTAAAAAATATACATCTGTGTGAAATAGGTAGATACCTAACTGTAACATGGGGAAAAAATATAACATTCCAAAGAATGGAATAAAATGAAATATGAGGAACCTCGTTCAGAGGTTCCATAAAGGATTATATGCCAAGCTATTGTCAAAAGACAACTAGATGTACTATATATTTTACTAAGACCTGAATTGCAACACATTTTCTTGTAAATTCACCATTTAATTAATTATAACTTTTTTTTTTTTTTTTTAAATCTGAAAATCTATTTTGGTAATATTTTTACAAATACCCAAATAGGCAAAGCCAAATAAGCAATTAATGGACAGAGTCAACATATCTAATTTGCATATTACATCTTACCTGCGGACACTGTCAGTTGGTGAGACTGCATCATCCCAACTGTGTCTCCTTGAAGTTGATAATGATCTCACTAAAATAGGTGTGGGTTCCTGCACTTCAACCATGTCTACCTCTTCTTGGGGCATATTATTTCTTTCTCCAGGAGCTCCACCTACATTTAATCCTTGTGGTGATCTAGATCCACAGGCCACCGGGCAGAGTAGAGGCTTGGTATAAGTGATGATAACCTCCCCCTTATCAAAGCTAATGTTAGTTTCTCCAGCAACGCAAAATGAAGCTGAAGAACGTTTGGGAGTCCTCTTGGGTGAAGGCTCCATTATTACAAGGTCTTTGTAGTATTCTGTCCCTTGAAGTGAAGAGTCTAGGGAATGCAGGTCCTCACTGCTACTTGCAGCATTGTGGGAGCACTCATCAAGGTCAACAGAGGCATCATCCTAGAGAAGAAAAAAAGTTGATAAAACACATGTCCTTTAT